TAGAGGCAGGTGGCCAGACTAAGAGAATTCTGGGAAAAAAACAAAGAGTCTGTCTCCAGCAAGACATAGAGGAAAACTAGTTAGCATGCTTTAGTGAGAAAGGGTACCAAATCACATGACTAAACATAGGCAAGAATTACGGGTTAGTATAAGTTGTAAGAACTAGTTAATAATAAATCAGAGCTAATAGACCAAATAGTTTATAATTAATATAAGTCTCTCTTTGTTTCTTTGTGATTGAATGGCTATGGGACCAGGTGGGACAGAAACTTCCATTTACACTAAACTCACTGAATTATAAGACGCTAAACTATCTTAGGTATCCCCAGTTATTTCCCAGTAACAAGAGTGCCAAGTCCCCAGGCCAGCACATCATAAATACCACTGGTCTTTACTGGACTCATTTTTTCCTGCTTGCATTAAGTTCATTCTTAGGGAATTTTAATCTGAGCTGAGCACATTGCTAAAGATGTGGTTCATTTCCTTACTTAATAATCATTAAAGTTATATATAAGTACTATTTCCATTTTTTTATTCAGTGACAGTTTCATATATATATATATATATATATATATATATATATATATAATGTTTTGAGTAAATTTACCCCACATTCCTACACTCAAATTTCTCTCTGCCCCCTAGAACTGTTCCCACCTAATTTCATGCACTCTTGCTCTTTTACAATGTCTCTCTCTCTTCCTCCATCTCTTTCTTGAGTCCACAGAGTCCATTTAGAGCCCATTTAGTGCTGCTAGTATGTGCATGAGAATAGACCTTCTATCGAACATGGCAGTCTCTCAAGAGTCACATTCCCCCAAAAAATTGGTTTTCCCTCCTCCCAGCAGACATGAACTGCGAATAGCTTAGAACTTAGATCATAGAAGAGAAGTAAGAACTAATATTAACCTGCTAAATGTACATAGTATTAAACCAACTCTTAAAGACTTAACTATATAGTTACTACCTTTATCTGCTGGTGGAAATAAGGTAAAGAATTTTAATGTGACGGTCAGAGAATTTGGGAAAGACTATAGATATGAATCTAGAAGTTATGACTCCAAAAGGAACCCCAACTAACTCCCAACTCTAAGTCTGTGCATTATCTTGAGGCTATTACACCTGTTTAACATGAATTCTCCTAGGCTTTGTAGTTAAATGAAGGAATTGTTTTCTTTGAAACCACTGCTTACTCTAAGGTTGAGTGTATAAGAGCCATACTACAGTAGGAGAATAGTGATGCCGATTATGGAACCAAGTATTAAATACTTTCCATTTGCTCAGCTCTGGGATAATGACCTGTTTACAGCTTGGTCTGTAAATCCTCAAAACTCTTGAGTAAATAGTATTGCTATAATTTCATAGCTACAGAAGCTTGACCACAAATAGAATTAATCATTTATCTCAATTAAACTCCTAATTTCATGGCCATGAGCCAAATTCATGTTTCACCCCAAAGTTTTAAACAACACCTTTCTTTCAGTGTTTATTAATCATGCTACTCTTTCACAGACATTACCTAATTTTGTTACTACTTCAGTTCAAAGTAGGATGCGCTACTACACAGAAAAAATGGAGTGGAGTTTTTAAACGTAAGTTATCAGTATCGCGGTTAATGTATAATACAGTCCTGTTTGTCTACAAGGCCTAAGTTTTTCCTGTACCTTAATCTCTCCAGGTCATTTTCTAGAACTACAGTTACCATGGTCACACATTGCTTACTGCTCATTCATATACTCATGTAATACACAGATGTTGCACTCACTCTTCTCCACACTGTCATGCCAGAATAGTAGTGAATTAAACAGTTCTTCTCTCTTGAAGCTTTTGATTTAATGAGAAAGGCAGATATTAATCAACTCATATAAATATATAATTGGAAATTGTAATCAAATACTGATTCAGTTTGAAGTGGAAGGGTCTAGGAAGCTCCTTCTCGAGGCACAGCAATTGAGCTGAGATCTGAAGGAGTAATCATTAAATATGACCATAAGAAGGTTATGATCTGCATCCCCAAATGCCTTTTCTAATCACTTTTGAAAAAAAGTTTTGTGGTTCCTTCTCATCTACTGGTGAGACTTTCTTTATTAAAGGAGTTTCTTTTTTTAAAAAAAGTTTGTCTTCATAATGTGAACAATGATAGCAATATCATATACTGTTGCATGAATTTTACTTATTTCAAACAACATTCTCCTGAGTGCTAGGATGACGTGCATGCATGCATTGTGCACCAACTCTATATTTTGTTCATTTAGTTAGTATTTAGTTAAGTCTTGAATTTGTACAGAGTTCACTCTTGGCCTTTTCACTGCAGTGGTAGGAACAGAGGTTAAATGTTCTCGTCATGTAGTATGATTATAACAATGTACACTTTTATTACATACAAGACCACACAAAGGATACTGCATTGGACCTTGTTAATTGATTTGGGTGGGAGCATGTCTTGTCTTTTGATTCTGACTTCTTTGTGACAAATAGTTCTTCAATGTCTTTGGAGAACTGATTTTCCTGAGAGACCCATGCATACCACAATCTTGAGATACATACTCTCCTAAATTCAGAAGTATAGGGGTTGTAAATTACCAACATCTTCACCTATGTCAGGTCATCTCCAGATTATATGAAATACCTTATATGGTATACCTGTCATGTATATAGGTGTCATACCACATTGAATAGGTAATGATGACCAGAAAACAAAGATAGCTCTGGGGCCTGTGTCAGTGAGAATACAAGACTTTTCCATGCTTTGACATTCATCCAGCAAAATGCTCTGTATGGAAACCTTGCAGACATAAGAACATATGGCATTCAGTGAGGGTTATGTTTAGTAGATAAATTATTTGTTTTACTTAATTAATAATGGAATGGTTGCAATGGCTACCATTTTAGAGAGACATTGTTTTTCTCTTTGTGTGTAAGTGGGAAAACATAAATGACATACCATAGATCACATCTGAAGGAATGGTGAATTAAACACACACAGGAACAGTCAGCTAGGAGTAGCTTAAATACGAACCAGCCAGCCCCTCTGTTTTCAGTACCCCTAGCAATGTGACCTGGAAGGTGGTTGAGAGAAAGGTATTTTTGTGTTAGGAAGGCTTGACAGACTAGACCAACACTTTCCATCTCTCCTCATGAACTAATGTACTCTTTGTCACCCAGAGTCCTGTGCCATTGGTGGAAGACCCTCATATTCTCTTCCCAAACAAACGTGAACATGCTATTTTACACAGATTAGATTCAACTGATCTGGCATTCTGTACATACATTCAGAGCAAGGATTAGCTAAAGCTGACAGATAGAACTCATCACAGACATGAGGCCACCACAAGAATCATCCTATAATTCACAAAACATGACATGGTGGACAAATGTTTCCTTGTTAATTAAAGAATCATTTTATGTGGGAGATGTGTTCAACAGGCATGCATATTTTTCTCCTGTGAATGTTCATTTGTAATCTGTTTCTGTGAAACACAGTATATTAAAAGTTTTGTGGGTTTTTTTTTCTATACTGATACCTATGTCATAGAGTTCAAGTCTTACACTTCTATGGTACTTTATCTCAGAGTATGGTTATTCTTGTCCCTATGCAACATCATTTCTGCCTATCTGTACTTCATTCCAAGTCCCCTTATGTTGAGACGGGAATGTGACTTTTGTTTTCTTCAAATGTAAACATTAAAAATACACTGAGAACATTTCTGTGGATTTTCATTCTTGCTTCCTTGTTTCCATTTTTTTCATCCTAGTGAATAGTAAGTGACTGAAATATAATTCCTGCTGCAGCCTTTCTTACTGAATCATATACTGACAATATCCCATTTTAAAAATGCATGTGTTATAACTGTGTCTGCATGGGGTGATAGATGTGGTGCACTTGCTACCTTCTGTAATTTTCAGAACAGTTGGTTTTCATTATACATCTTTCCCTCATCCTCCACCACCCCGCAAACACATAGATAGATGCAGCCCCCTGAGGTACCCGTTCGCCTCTCAGACCTCCAAACAGACCAGACAGCATCTAATAATTGGGAAGAGTGACAGTGGGAGGACAGGCTCATTAAAACAGTTGAGCAGGACTAGTCAACACCCTTGGGAATCTGAAACAGATTGTACAAGACAAAGACAGACCAGTTAACCACTGCAGCTCTCTCCTCAAGCCTTGTGTACCTTAAGGGTTATTTCTTTAAATTCTTGCTATCGATAATGACAGAGAAGAAAAATATATACATTAACTTTGAAAGCCCTCCATGTGAGAAGACAGAGAATGAGAGGAGTTGGGTACCACCAGTAGAATTCAGACATTTATCTGATGGTCAGTGGGGGGGGGGGGGGCACTGACCTGGAGTAAGTTCTGAAGTCTGAATTAGATGCTATGCTTCCCAGACATATATTTTTACTTTCATAAATATCCCCCATGCCACTAAGGACCATTCTAGTTTAGTGGATTAGTACATAATTACTTTGGAGAACACCTTTTTAAATACAGTTGTATTTTTTAATTAAATATTGATTTGTGGGTTTGGAGAGAGAGCAGTATGCCATGAATGTCACAGAGACAAAAATCCTCATTCAGTTCTAAAACCCCAGAAGCTGACATGGGAAAGTTCATCTTTGTTTATTTCTAAACTAAGCTTTCCAGCTTTGTTTTTCATGTTTGTCATTCTGTTCCTTGAAAAGCTAAAATAAATTTTCCTTAGTAACATTAATTACATTTAAATACCATTTTTGGTATCTTCATATCTAAATATAAAGGTTCGGTTCATCCAGATAAAGTTATTTTTTAAATCATCACTGAATTTCAAAATGTTTGAATAATTTCAAAATATTTGAACAAATAACTGCTATAATGTCTTTGCTATTTAAACAGTCGTTAATACATCTATTTCCCCTCTCTATTGGGGGAGGGGGTCAGGCACTCATGTGTATCTGTCTGTATCTGAATTTTTCTTTAAAATATGTACCCACAAGTGATTTTATACATTTAAAAACAGGATGAAACTCTCCTTATGAAAGACCGACTGGACAATGAAAAAAGATACTGATTGACACTGTTAAAGTATAAGAGGAAATGGCCTATCTTCCAAGCCAGAAACACATGGATGCTTCTTAGGAAAGCTCATTACTCTGGAGGTACATAACTCCTTCCCTTTCTCTCATGCTGTTGTGCAGAAGCATTTGTATGTGATATTTACTGCCTAAGAAAAGCCAAAATGTTATTTCTAATGCATTGAATGAGGATCCTGGAAGTTGTCTCTGCATCCTAATAGGCAAAATCGTGAACAAACAAGAATTCATTCAACAATTTTGTCTACATCTGGCAGAGAACTGAAGTCACACAGGAAGCTAAACAGAAGGGATGCAGGGAACCACAGCTTATTAACATAGAAACCCATAAGCATGAAGTTTTTAGACTCAGTCTCTGATAGGAAAATGTAGATAGATGTTGAAAAACTACTGGAGGCTTAGGGAAGACCAGTTCCAAAACTGAAAGGTTAAAATTTCAACAGGGTCTTACAATGGAGCCATCAGGACCATACATGCCCTCTTATCTATGTATTGTCTGCTAGGATCTCACATTGAAGTTCAGTGAAAAGTCATTTCCTTTTTAAGGCAGGAAGAGGGGAAATTCGATCAAACACATTGTTTTGCAAAAAAAGTATAGGAATGAGTGTATGTTGTAGTAAAAGGAAAAATTCAAAGCAAGAAATCTAAGTTTACAACTAGAGAGGTTAGAAAAAGATGAGCAATTTAAATATAAAACCAGAAACATAAAAGAATAAAGATCAATGCAACTAAAAATGAGAAATCAATAGAGAAAATCAATGAAATAAAAAAAGTCCTTATTCCACACTACCTAAAATTTATAAGTCTCTTACCAAACCTGGAGAACTAAAAATATATGTAAATAAAAAATAAAGAATGACTCATTTCAGACATTAAAGATTCTGGGTTGGGGAATGGCTCAGTGGTTTAAGGTTCTTGCAACCAATTACTCCTGCCCACCTGACTCAGATACCTTGAAAACACATGCCTGAAGGGGAGAGCGGAGCCCTGCTTGTCATCTTCTGACCTGCACATACAAACTTTGGCAGCTATGAGTCTCCACATACATAAGAACACAAGCACACACAGAGACACATACACACAGACTCACACATACACAGAGACACACACAAAGACTCACAGAGACACACATACTCATTTTAACAGAAAGAAAGTCGATGGTAACCTAGTTACTAATAAACAAGCTACACCTCAATGGTTAGAAAGCTGAGGCGGGATTTTTCAATTTTTGAAACCAAGACATATAGTCTGGCCTTCCAAACTGACATAGGAAGCAAGAGACCATCCAGAGAGGCCTTAATTTGCTGACAATTATTTTTGGATCTGACTTATGTGTACATGGAGATTTTTTATCAGATATCATCAAGCATAAATCACCATGGTCCGATCAATAAAAAGTAAATTGATTATGACAGAATTTATATTGAAACTTGAAGTATCCTTTAATCAATCTGTTGAAGACAAATTTTTAAATGGTCAAAGGAAAAAGGTGTGGGCCTCTTTCTGAGAGACAAGGTAACATTTTATTTGAAATCTAGAGAATCATAAAATACCACGACAGCTAGAAGTACCCTGGACTTTCAACACTGAATGGCTTTCTATAGTTTCGTGATTATGTGAGCTCCCTCTAACAAGATGACAATCAAGAGTTGCAGTGAGCTTGAGATGTATTACTTGATACATCCAACATCAGCTGTTTCCTTCCATCTTTCTTATTTGTATTTCATTTAATACAAGCAGAGTAAATGAAATTATATGTAGGTATTTTTTAATGATAGCAACTATGGTTTTATAGACAAACACCTCAACTTCTGAATACAAAGGCGATTGTGGCTTTGACAGAGGTGATTCTGGGTAAAAGAACATCCTAACTATTTGGAAAAATGACCCTTGTTAATTTAGCTATTTAGTTTGTAAAGTGAAATTCTACTTTTAGTAGTGAACCTCACCACAAAAATAACCATTAAAGATAGAAATACATAGCAGAAGAATGGGTGTCGTGATAACATGAGGAAGCAGAAAGCCGGTCTAAGAAGAACTCCAGGAAGAGGAAATGAGGGCAGAGTTCTAGATCATTATCTTACATCACGGTCTCTGGTTTTAAATTGAATTTCCACACTACTTGCCTTTTGAGTTCACTTGGCGTACTAATCAGTCCAGGAATGAAAGGTGACTTGAATAGACAAAAGTAACATTAAAAGGTTTTGGAATAAAAGCTGTGGATTACTCCTAAGATGCTCCTGAGCAACAAGCTCAAAGGCACAGAAGAGCACAGTCTATCTGCCAGAAAATAAGAACTCAGACCATGGCACTGTTTTCGTGAAAGACATATATTGCTTCTGACAAGCCAAAACACAGCCTTTTTCTCTTTTTCGCTTCTTCTTCTTCTTCTTCTTCTTCTTCTTCTTCTTCTTCTTCTTCTTCTTCTTCTTCTTCTTCTTCTTCCCTTGTATTAACTCCTTTTCAGTGAAAGCAGACATTTGATTAATTAAAGAGATTTTAGGTTTGATCTTAAAAGTATTTAGTGTCATTTCCTTGTAAAATCTCTTTCAATGATACATGCTTGCAATAAAATTTCCTAGCCTAGGCTTGAAGTCAAGTTTAGCAGTTATGCCTATATACCGGCTCTTAATTCTCCTGTCCCAACTGTCCTTGCCAATTTAATTTGTTCTTGTGTTGGAATGTAAACTTTATGAAAAGAGAATATAGTTAGAATCACTGGGGTTTTTTTTATCTTTACAGATGATTAGAAATAAATTCAATTACGGATTCATTCACTGTTCAGTAAAGAAAAGACTAAGTTCTTGTGAAGTATATTGAAGATTTTAAAGTTGGGATTCTATCTTTAGGTTTATAACACCTAAAGAATATTTGCTGTTTGACTTCACATAAATCCATGTCGCATAAGAGAAACACAGTTCAACTGTCTGCCTTTCCAGTACTGCCACTTAGAGCAATCTGGGAAAAGGAAGCAAAAACAAAAAAATTAAACCGTGACCTCAGACCCTAGTGACAAGAATGGAAACTACTTAGATTTCTTGCTACAGATTATTTGGCGTCAACCACTATTTCAGTAATTAACTGGGAACACACAGATATAAAATATTATTATAGCTCACAATACATTTAAAAATAGCTGAGTAAAGAAGGAGACTGACATCCAAAGGAAGCCAATAGTTTGTTATGTACAGTGATTAATATAAAGGAAGGAATACAAAGAAAGCCAGTTCCAAACTACTATGCTGCTTTAGGAACTGTAATAGGAATATTAGAATAAAAAGGATGCAGCCAAGAAAGTCTAATGTGCTCATAATTCTTCACACAAATGGCTCAGCTATTTCTCCCATCAACCACATATCAACATTTTAACTGACAAAAAGAAAATCACTATGAAATCAAAATTATCTCCTTACTCTAGAAATTTTTGGACATAAGTTTTTTATTTACTCCATAGGTTGTGGTGAAAGTTTTCTTCATTCATTCAGAAACACTGGCAGCTAATTGTCAGCACTATAACACACTTAAGTGCACAGTTATAGATAGGATAGGCATATACACTCTTTTACCAAAACTTACTACTAAGACCATTGAACATGTGTATCTTTTCATTGTTTGATTGATTGGTTACCATCTTTCTGCTATCTACTTAATGCATGTATGTTTGTGTTTTTAAATATATTCCTTGAAGTGAAATTGTTTCTGATAATCTTTTTAAAGGTCAGATACTCTTGATCAATAATCCTGGTAAGAGGTTGTACATATGCACATTTCTACCAAGAATACATACATGAGTACCTTCTTTCCTCTTGCATACATTGTACATTATCATTGAAACATTTGATAATTGGTGTGTATCAATTTTTGAGTTCCCTTGCACACTTAGGGAAATCGAATGCTTTTCATATATTTATTGCTTAGTTAAGAAAAGTTGTAATGACTATAATAATGTTTTTCATAAACACAATGACATTTTTTACAGCAGGGCTTGCCTGCAACTATGCCTTCTGGTTATAAATAGCTCTATTCACTATCAAGGCAATCACAACAAATGAAATATCTTCTTTGTCTGTCCTTTTATAGGAATGCTTGGTTTTCTGCATTAGACTTTGAGCTGACAGAATGTACTGATAGTTAAATGGTTACTGTACACTAACAGCTTCTTAAGCTATGTTAAGAACAGGCTAGAACCATGAAATACTTAAAAGTAAGCCATGTCCTCTCATTTATGGGACATTGTGGTATTCACATACTCCATTTGGAAAAACAGAGTCTAAACTATGTAGTGTCCCATGTGTGACCTTTGCCATCATTGCCTTTCCATCCTTCATCATCTGGTCCTCACCAGGTTCAATTCAGCAAATTGAACTTCCAAGACTAACTTTCAAAGATGAACCACCTACACCTGAATTGTAGTTCTGCTTTATCAGCAGTGCAGTTGAGCTGGCCGCACTTGAGCTTCTTCATTTGAAAACTGGAGCAAAAGCATCATATAATTGTGAATGTGTGAGCAGGTAGCTGCAGCTTTGTAGGCATGATTGTAACTGCACTGCAGAAATATTGTTCAGATCCATATGAGCTAATACTTCAATGAGTATAGCCTGCTGACATGTAAAAAAAAATGATAGTGATATGGGTTTCAGAGTACGTAGTTTATTATTTGGTGTGTGTGTGTGTGTGTGTGTGTGTGTGTGTGTGTGTATACTCTATTTCCACCATTTAGATGCTTACAACATAAGGAATATCAAAGCTAAAAACATACCAATATAAATCCCAAGTAAAATGTAACAATGATAAATGCCTATCTTTAAATTCTGTAGTCCTGGGTAGGTAAATAATTTTGGAAAGCTACTAGGTGTTGGTGCATGAGAAATAAACTAAATAAAATTTCAGGTGTTCATTGAGATGACTAGGAACTATATGTTCATTAACAATCATTGACATGTTCCTGCTAAGTCACTTCCGCCCCCACAACTTCGCTAGCATGATGAGCTTAAACTCTTCAGAGCTGTAAGACAAAACAGACCTTCCCGCCTCTAAGTTGTTTGTGTCAGCTGTTTGTCAAATGA